CCCCAAAACCCCAAAACCCCAAAACCCCTGTTTTCCAAATTGAGAAAATTTTGCAGTTTATTTTTATGAAATAAAGATTATAAGGTTTTATTGCTTGACTCCAAATGATATAAGCTTAATTTTCAGATTCAAATATAACGTTCGTTCATAATGAGAAGGACTAGAGTAGTCCAGCCAGAGAATGGATGAGAGGATTACCCTTTGCCTGTAACATCATTAAAGTTCTCATAGAGCAGGTGTTGAGGCTCCCAGTTATCATAGACAACTTATACTATCTTTTATCTCAGTTACTGGTAGAAATCTTTTGGAGTCTTAATGGTTCCATCTTCGCTCAAGGGATTTACTGGGGTATAATCAAGATAGTACTTGTACAATCCTCTCAAAACAAGATAGTTCACAGATATCCAAACTGGTCCTCTCCAGTATCCAGTACCTGGGAAGTATTCCATATCCTAGGCAGACACACCTCTCAGACCATAGGGTGAGTTCAACGTCTCTGTGTCCACTCCAAACATCAAATGATCATCTAGCCTCTCGATCATTCCTTGAAATCCATTCAAGGCTACTGGGAACAGATTCACTATTCCTTGATGTGGGGAAAATTGATTGATTTGCCTATATTTCCTTGCTACTTTTGATTATGATGAACTCACATCAAGTCTTCTTGAATCTCTTAGTCTAAGGATGTGCTAGCTACTCTCAACTTATGGTTTATCAAAAATATTGTCTGGAGTAGGATCATCATGGTAGATTATTCTATCTGTAAAAAGACCAGTTTCTTCGTTGTAACACCAGGTCCTATGTTGTTGCTAGATTAGACTTGCCTGATTTCTATAATCATCACTCGATTTCTTTGAAACAGTTTTGCCAGTTAGGGTTTTAATCTCATCAATAAAATCAGCCATAAACTTGGAAAAAGTTTTCATCCAAAGCTGTAAATCATTGTGGACATTAGCTTTTTGACTTTATCTCCATCCTCTAGGATAATCATCAAGACCTGAGCTTAATGCACCTTCTTTACCCACATCCATCCACATGTATGTTCCTTTTAAAGCAGGATCTGTATTTCCGAGAGTTGTATCAAACCAGGAAAACCAAAGCTCCACTCTGGGAAAAATATTAGTTAAGAAGTCTATAACTCTCTAGTCTTGTTTCTACTGGAGAGAGTCCAAAAGGTACTCTAAAACAAACATAAATGAGGGAGGATTGCCTGCCTTAGGGTTCTCAGCTAAATTGTAATTCAAACTACTTTCAGCCTCCTTTCCTCTCATTTGTTCTCTTGGAATCCAGCCATTTTCCTTTATTGAATTGAACCAATGAGCTAAAATATCCATACACAGCATCTTTGACCATTAGCATGTAATCTATGAGTGAAATCCTTCATCCCAAAGAAAGCCCCTTGGGAAAAAGGGTCTTGATGGAGTTGCTGTAAATAATCCTGCTGGCTAATCGTAGCTCCATCCTTGAGGAGAATTGTCAAGAATTCTTATAGGACCATAGAAGTATCCAATGCCACCTAGAAGTTAGGCAAGAGTTTCCTGACCAAACATTAGCGCATCCGGCATAGTCCTTAGAAAATCCTTATATCCTTCTCCAAATATCTATTTATTTATATTCATTATATGTTAATTAATACCTGAAGATACCGAGCCTTAAAATTTGACTCAGCTGTGGTCATTTTACTGTCAATGTCTTTTTATACATCTGCAATGTCTTTCTCCATAATTTCTGTGTAAGCATCGGCTGCAGCTTCACTAGCGAATTTTTGCTTGCTGTATCTTACTAGTATCTAGAGTCCATCTGAGGGTAGTGTTGGCCTTATCATGCAGATATTAGGGGTGGTTGTATCGATAAGACCATGGGCTTTAGAATATTGATCATAGTTTGTAGCCCAGAGTTTGTCAAGCTGCCAAGTTTAATCATCAGGTTTATTTACAGCAAGCATCGAATTATCATCTATTTGAGATTCCGCTCCTATCTCTATCATCTCATAGATATTATTTGTAGGATCCACCGTGTGCTGTATTTTGTAGAAATTCTTCTTGGTATTTTATGTGATTTTGAAAGTACCAGCCTCGTTGTTCAGTTTTCCCTCCTTCGCTGCAAAGAAAACAGGATTTCCTAAGATTTATTGGCCATCTTAAGCGTTGATGGTGATTCTTGAGGTCCATCTGCTGATATATTCAGTTGGTGTTTGATCTATCTGTTCCATCTCTTTATGGAACTCAATTTTGTATTAAATTTGTCTCTTTTCATCTTTTATCAGTTATCTTGAAGCACTTGTGCCATCATTGAATTGATAGTAAGCAGTAACTCCATTATCCATATCGTAAGCATATGATGAGTTGACTTGAGGTGTCTTGTCCTTGTCATAGTTATACCAAAATAAGCCAAAAGCTAATGGATTCTCTTGTCTGTTCTTAACTCCGAAGTATAAATCTGGTTTATATACTCCCCATTCAACTGTTTTATTGTAGACTTCATTAAAAAGTGATTAGCCCTCCATTGCGGTATCTAAATCTGAAAGATCGATTACTTTTGAGGAGGTTCCGATTGAGAATATTCCTACCAATAAAGAGTAGGAAATTATGCTAGTCTTCATTATATAAAATTATATTTTCTTTTAAGATTTATATATCCATATCCCCTAATAATAAAAATATCATTCTTTGTAATTCATCTTATTTCAGGCACATGGGGTTTTGGGGTTTTGGGG